TTAAGATATATCGTAGATCTTATTTATAAACAAGTTCTTGTTTTGTCGTGAAAAATGTTAAATGCAGCAAAAAATGCTATATGCAACCTTAATTTGCTCAAAATCTTAATGTGCTATACCAGTTCTATCAATGGCATCGTGTTTAGCACGAACAAATCTTCAAGAAATGCACTGTCGTATTTCGAAGAGAATATGACAGTTGAATACTCAGCTAACGCTAAATATTCAGAAAATTCAATTTGTATTTCCAATATGCCGAATATTTCGAAACACTAAAAGAATTATTGTCACAGCTAACGTGCAATTGTAGATGAAATATTCAGAATATTGTATGAATACTTTTTGTATATATCATATGAAAATTACTCGCGAGAAAGCAGTACATGGTACATCTCCACCGATAAAGGGCGTGGCGAAGATGCATTTACTCGTAAATAAGAATCATCTTAGAAGAGAATATAAAGAGCGTTGCAGCATTTCGCTTGTAAAGTCAGTCTCAAAATTTTCTTCAAGATGAAATGTGTTTTTCATGGTATTATACATTCATCAGTTAAAAAATTGCAACACTTTTTTGTTATAAGTTTCACAACTCATCTTTGCTCGTAAAGCGATTGAATGTATATGATTTAATTCATAAATAATAATTAATCGCTCGATAAGTAGGTTGCATTCTGAAACTCATCGAAAAAAAGAGTTGCAACTTTGTAAGTAATGATTAGTATATAGTTTCGTTTGAAAAGTGATTCAGGGACTATCGTACCTGGAATTTCCAAAAAAATTAAAATTTGGTGAAATATATATAGAACATTCTCGATATATGTAATGATATGTAAGTGGAATTTTTAACCAATATTTGAATGTTGCTTTTACATTTCGTTTATATTTCAGAATATTCTGAAATATTTGGAACGTTTTTTTAAGATTTTAAAAACCTATTTTATGAATATTTCAAAAATATTTAGTATTAGCTGGATAGTATAATTATTTGCAGTTTATTTGGTTTTGATTTTTATCATTGTTGAACATCCAACACATGTATAAAGATCGCATTCGCGGAAGTTTGTTAACTACGCGAAGTATGAAATATAAGGAGAGTACATACAACTTTTACTTTTTCGCGATCGTTCGTTTTATTTCTACATTCTCTTATTGATCCAATTTTGAATTAGTTTTTAAATAATTGAAGTATAACTGACAGCGATTTTATAACGATGTGAATAAGGATTTTATTCTTTATTTTAATGTATCAATTTTTCCTTAAGAGAGCGAAATTATTATGATAATAACTTTCAGTTTCTATAAAAAAAGATAAGAAAATGTAGAAATAAAACAATCTCAAGAAAAAATATTATATATATATATATATGGACATAACTGTATATAAAATATGTCAATTTTTTATATAATTATATGTAATTATATGTAATTATACATTTTTTCCCAGAATCCTCAAATATAGTTATGAAAAAACTTGTACCCTCTTTTAAAAATTATAAAATTTTTTGCGACTTACCAAAAATCAACTCGAAAAGTTATATAGAAATTTTAAAAAATTATAACATAAGAATTCGACAAAAAATTTTTTATAATTAATTCTAAAATATAAGAATTTTAAATTATAAGAATCGTAAATTATAAGAATTTTTTATAAGAATTCTAAAAAAATTTATCAGGGATTAATCTTTAAACTTAAATGTATTGATTTTTAAGTTTTTTATAAGTTATTTATAAGTTTTAGGATGTTTCTAATTAAATTTGGAGGCATTATTAAAATATTTCAGATCGATTGTGTTAAAAATTCGAAAGTATTTGGCGCATAGTCATACTCTGAAATAAATTTATTTAAAAATACATATATGTATTAGTTTAATATCTAACTTCGACCGAAAATGACGCTTCTCATATTTAAATGATGTATTCACATAAACGATCTTGTTTTTAATCTTACTGTTATATCAGTTATGAATAAATAAAGAATTATTTCTCAAGTAATGACACAGCTCTCAGAGTCTTTCTTCTTTAGATGAAAGTGATGAAGGAATGAAACGTATGGAGCTATTTATAGACATAGATGTCTTCGAAGAGCCATATGGTCCATTATAGCCATCAAGCCATATGTTTCAAGTGTAATACATTTGTTTTACTCTTTATGTAAGTACACCAACAGATTGCAGTTGCTCTCCACTCACAAAGAATTCATCAACTCTTTCATTAAAACAATCAAATTTTATTTTAATTTTTATTGTAGAATGCATTGTACAGTTTTATCAAATAAATGAAATGTAATGACATAAATGAGACTATATACACACATAAAATATAAATATAAACATATATATGTGTGTGTGTGTGTGTGTGTGTATGTGTGTGTGTGTGTGAGTTCTTTTCTTATTTTAAAAAATTTTATTATTATGTAACTTATATGATGTCCCCTAATTACTGATATAGTGCTCGTATACAGATAAAACGGACTAAACTGAGTCGAAAAATCCTCTACAATTTGAATTCATAAACTGACTTTACATAAGAACATTTCCACAGATAGATTTAGAAGATTGAAATAGGGTAATCGTATCCAGACCTTAATAGTAAATATTTTTAACTGTATCTCAGTAACAGTGTGTTTATATATATCATGTATATTTATATGAACTTTTTTCATATTTCTTTATATGAGGAGCTCAAACCTGAAGTTTGTTCCCTTATTTTAATTACACTCCACAATATCTACTACATTTATAGAACGCAAATAATATGGATTTCTGTTAAACAATTAATAATATTTTTACATTTATATGTAAACTTTTGTAATTTTTTAAGTAAAATTATTGAAAGTTCTAATATGGTTTTCCCAATGCACTGCACAAAATATTTCTTTCGTACTATAAACAAAATATTAAAGACATATTTGATAATGAAGATTCGCTCTAAAATTTCTAAATTTATATGTGTGTGTGTGTGTGTGTGTGTGTGTGCGCGCGCGCGCGCGTGTGTGTGTGTAAGAAGAGCGTGAAAAAATGTAAAAAATGTTCAAACAGATCATAAGTAACTACTGTGTAATAAAAATAAATGTGTTGTTTAAAATTTTATAAATTAACATTAATTAACGATAACAATAAAAGTAATATATGAATAAAAATAGAAATAAACGAAATTATTAAAAGTAAAAAATAATTTTTTTTTTTAGGTAAAAGTTTACTTATTATGCGTTTTTTGCTCTTTCTTCCAATATTTTTCCTCTTTTGTTTGCTTCCATAGAAGCATATATAAAAATATTATTTTACTATATTTTATTGTAAAAGGATTACAACATCATACAAAAGAACAGTTTTGTGATTTATGAGAGCTTATAAACCTTATTCTATTTTCGAGCGTAATTCGTGTACAACTTTGGTTAAAATATATGCATCTTGGTAATCAGCAGTGAAAAAAATTATTACCCCCGGAAAACATGTTTTATAAATATTTATATAGAGAGAAAAACCCCCTAATATATGAGATAGGCGCCTAATATAGCGACGTTTCTGCTAAACTAATAAACCCTATCTATTGATTCCGCCATAAATTTTTTGTTCTTGGATTGAAAACTATTTAGTAGAAAGTTTATTATTAAATCATGCCTATAGTCATTGTAAAAAAAGATTTTAGAATTTGGATGTCTTTAAGTTTCATTGAAATGAGTTTTTAAACCTTGTTTATCTAATAAATAAATATTTGACAATAAATTCTTCATGTAGTGATAGAGTAAGGTCGTACTAACAGAAAAATACAGGATACGTTAAATTGCTTAATTGCAAAAATTAGATTTGATGATCGTAAAACTGTAAGGCGTGGAAATTGTAATTTGAGATATCCAGGATATTTCTAATATAAAATAACCCATGCTCCTATGTCGTAGTGAAAATCGTTGCTAAAGTATAAATGTTATTGTATAATAATAAAAAGAACAACTGGAATGAACGTCGAGTATCTATTTCTGTGATGCTTGATTCGAATTACCTGAAGAGTTCTGTGTATAATCTATCACATGCTCATTTTTTACGCATGCTGGCTGTGTTTGTTTGTATTTTAGCAACATTAAATAAAGTTTTTTAATTGCAATACTAATATACTTTGCGTTTTACTGTCGATTTCTCATAAAATCTTATATTAGAAGCACAATTTTTTGACTTTGCAATTTTGCTCACTTTTTACATTTCTTCAATTTGCAAAAAAAAATGGAATTTGAATTAAATTTGATTATCTTAAAACTTATTAAATTCCCTTCTAAATGGCCTATTATTTTTTTAAATTCTGCCCATAAACTTCTAGCATTTACTCAAAATGAACTCGGTATCTCATAATAGGGGCCTTTCCTCTAATTATATAAAAAATTGACATATTTTATACACAATTATATATAATTATATGTAAAATATGTCTATATATATGTGACATTTCTTCCCCGGGATGTAATTACTTACGTAAAAAAATACAAATAAAATAAAAATTTGTAAAATGATGAACGAAATGATGCACGACTTTTATAGTTCGATCGATCTGGAATTATCAGCATTTTCGTCAATTAATGTTCAAATAATGGTCATTCTATTAGCAAACGTTGCAAAAGTTTAGCAAACACGGTATAAAAAAATATGATTATGATATAAATCACGTTTTTAATATAAAATAAATGAAAATTATACTGATAAAAATATTTTAAAAAGCGATTAGGAGTGACAAAGAAGATTAAAAAAGAATGAGAAAGAGATAGAGAGAAAATGTAAATAAAAAAAAGAACGCTATAAAATGCAATATAGAAACTACTTAGATGAAAAAGTTCATTTGTCCTTTTTTCGTTTATCTATATAAAAACTGTATAGAGAAAAAATAACTGATATTTTACGACCAAGAAAAATTGAATGATTCTATCGATATCGAGAAAGACTCGATTTTGTTTCGGCGCGGTGAAAAAAACAGATCCGGATGAGTAAATCTGCGTGATTAATCATTTTACTCACTCTAGCGTGCTTTTTGTCTTCCTCGCAAAAACACACAACAGTCAATTGTAACAAACTGTTTTCCGACGCAACTAGCGGAGAAGAACTGTGAAGAACTGATCTTGCGCTGCCATTATGTAGATATAAGTATTTTTAAAAATCCGCCTAGTCGACGAATTACTTGCGCGGTGTTACCAACCTTCATATTGTATTCTACAAACGGAGATAGGAATGTCTTAACACTCAAAGTTACACGGAGCATATTTAGAGCATACTCTCCATTTCTAGATATTCGTACATCATGACTATTGATTTTTTGGCAAAATATTTAATATATTTTAAGAATACTTTACAGTAATATTATAATATTACAAATAAATATATAAATAATAAAAAGACAAATAATAAATAAATAAAGCTGTAATAGTTGTATTTAAATAATAATTAATAAATTAATAAATTTGTTAATAAATTATTGAATTAATGATAATTTTGTAATTCTTAATATGATGAGTCATAAAATTTCTATTTGTATACTGCAAAAATTAAATATATACAATTTATTTATGTACAGTGTCCCATTTTAATTTAAACAACCAATTTATGAAAATCACGAGACTGAAGAAAAATATTTCAGACAAAAATTGTATGACTTTGAAGGAACATAAGATAGTACCATATTAGTTTAATTTTGGATGATGTTGTCAGGGAAAGGTCACTTTAAATTTTTTAAACGGTAACTCCCATTTTTCATTGCATATTCTTGTAGAATTTTGCTTATCTCGAGAGCTTTATAAAACACTATAATGAAATATTTTTCGGATTCTAAAGAGCCGTCTGTATTATCGACTATTTATAATTTTTATATAACAATTACTTTTTTCCTCTTTTACAGATTCGAAAATTCTTTTCCAGGATTAAAGTATACGCATTAATACATGTCTATGAGGTGGAGTTTATGCCAAGAAATTTATGGCAAAAAATTGTTGTTAAAATTTCAATTTTGAAATTTTTTTATCGTTCTCAGGATAAATTTTACCTCATAGATACGTATTAATGTGTATACTTTAATTCTGAAAAAAGATTTTTGAATCTGTAAAAGAGAAAAAAGTAAGTCCTTGCAAAGCACGTAATTTGGTTTTAGGAAAAATATTTTTTTCTTACGCTTTGAATCTTAATTCCACAAACTCAGACTGTTCGTTCAAGTAATCTAAATTCTGTCTCACGCTTATTTTTAATTTACAAGCTGTAAAACTTATTTATTGTTATTTATTTTGTATAATGAGAGTCCTTCAATTTTGTTAAAACTTATTTATATCAAGTAACTGTTACCTTAGGTAACAGTTGTACGTGTCAGAAAAAGAATCGTCGATACGATGTCAATTCAGTTATCATTTCTGACTGGGATGAAAAGAAAAACAATTTTTGTCTGTTGTTTTTCTTGTAAAGTTTATAATACTTGATTAAAAAATTATTGAAAACCAATATCTGGTGACTTTTAATAATTGATATATGTTAACTATAGCGAAAATTGCAACACATGGTAGAGAATTTTCAACTCAGTTTAGTCCGCTCTACTCCTATGCAAGAGTTATATCGTTACTTATCAAACACCTTGTATATAAACGATTATACATAATTATGTATTTATATATACTGGTGTGAACTCTGGAAACAATCAATGTAGTTTTATTGCTAAAATGTATAATTATATATAAAATATGCTATACATGTTCCTACATCCTTCTTTCTTTTGTAAAATTACTTTTTAATGTATATAATAATTTTCGCATTGTTTGTTTTAGAAAAAAACAAGTTTGCAAAAATGTAAAAAAAATTGTTTATACATAATTATGCATAATTTTATATATAATTATACGTAAGTAATTTTTTACATTTCTTCAAACTTGATTTTTTCTAAAACAAATAGTGCGAAAATGATCTTTTTAGTTATTTTTAATGTTTTCACATTACTACCATTATTTCTACAGTAAAAAGTAATTTTACAAAAGAAAAAAGAATGTATGAACATGTATGGATATATTTTATATATAATTATACATGTTATGAATATTTATGCGTGTTCATGTATGTTTATACATTTTTATACATATTCATGCATGAAAAATTTTTTACTGAGTTTACTGTAGTATGGTATAGAGATGCAAGATAAAAAAATGTCTTCTATAATCTTTACATTTAAACATTAGTATATTAGAAAATACAAATATTTTATTACTTTTAAAGCTATATATGTTTCAATAAAGTTAAAATTTTACTTTTCTTGCTTTGATTACTACAGCGAATTTATTAATTATATCATGTAGATTAATTTGTGAGAAAACTTTATGTTCAATTGATAATAAAGCAAGACTGGTCAATCTTTCTTGATTCATCAAAGAACAGAAATCATTTTTTATCAATTTAAGCTTACTAAAACAGTATTCGCAAGATGCTATGGTCACTGATAAAAATCTCTGATAAAAAGGCACTATACAAGTATAATATAAATATTCGTATCCGCCACTTTTATTATCCTTTCTCCATTCCTTGCTTTCTCCTCATCTCTCGCCATTCCGCCGCTGAGTTGATAATTTTACGGTCGTTACAGGTTATGACTTGGTTGGTGTCCAAGATTTTCTGTTAAAGTTATTTATCCACTGTTGTTGTCAACAAATGTTATTCGCAGAAAATAAAAATAATTGGACACCTATTTCCATTCTATTACTATAATTCGCTGCAACTCAACAAGAGATTTTATAAATTGTTGTTTTATCATATTGTAAGAATTGTTGTTGATCTGATTGACCGTAAGTTTTTAAGCTCAACAGCAGAGTGGGGAAAGAGAAAGGAGTGGGAAAAGGATTAAAAATGGCGGATGCGATACCTATATTCTAGTTACGGAATAATAGAAAGAAATAAAATCTCTATTGCAAAGTATAATCATACCCAATAGCGACAATGAACGTCGGCACTTTTGATGTAAGTGTTCTTAGATCACATGATTCACCGTCTTGTGTGAAGTACACAGTAGATGATAGGACAAGACCTTAAATTTGAATTTCTATTAAGCTTCTAATATGTCCGCCATATTTCTAAGTGTACAAACCGATATACGCGCACTAAAAATTGCATATCACAAAAAAATTCACTATCGCTACGGGTATGATTATACTATGTCCATAGCCTTTTCGTTCGAAATACAAAATCCCTAATTATTTTTCGCCAGTAGTGGCGCTGTTATAGCCGAAGACCTCACCGTCTTCCGTGGCGCGAATATTTAAACTGCAGAAATGAAAGAATCGAAGGTAATTATTCAGTCACATCCTTTTAAAAATCGATGCAAAAAATACTTATTCTAGTCTCATTATGTTCTCATGTCCCTTTATATCTATGCCATCGATGTCATAGATTTCTTAACCTGAATAGTCGTTAATTTAAATGATTAATATCTTGATCCACGGGGCAGATCGACATTTCTTTTGCTAGAATTGTTCATTTCGCAAAAACGTGTTGAATAAACTTAATTTTATCAACATTGAACATGAAGAGGCTAAACAATTACCTTACAAATTTTTTAAATAAACTGTATAACCTTCGGTGCTTTGAAAAAACTTTTCTTTTTTCCTTTGCACTTGTTTGTCTATTAGTACAAATTAATATGGTACAGCACATTTTTATCATAATATTTAATTTTTATTTTTCACGATTTTTATTTCACACGTTATTTTTAATTCGCATTATTATATTCTTACTTCGATAATGTTGCAATTGTGAATGTCGTACTTCCACTTCTATCACAACCCGATAAACGAAGTTGTCAGCAACAGAAGCGTCACGAATTTTTGTGCCGCTGCGGAGATCACAGTAAACTGCAGAGATTTTACTCTTTTCTATTATTCCATGATTCTAATGCATTATAGTAAAAAGCATTTTACGATCATACGATTGACGTGATTTTGGCGCTCCTGCTAGGCGTACGCCTTTGGCATGGGCCAATTTCGCCAACCCTTCGCTACGCCTCTGATTATATATAATTTTATATATTTGTATATAAATGAACATATTTTATGTATAATTAAATATTGTATAATTCTATATAATTATATATAATTTTATATAATTTTATGTATAATTATATATAATTATATATAAACATATTATATATAATTATATATAATTATATACAATTTTATATAATTATATATAAAACCAGAGAGAAACTTGATAGTGGACCCGGTTTTTTTCATGTATCAAACCTCATAGGGTAATGTCGTTTTTGTGGTTTTTCTCTGTGGTATTACGTGATTAAACAAGAAGGAACAATCAAAGTTAATTATTCATCTTTGTTTAATCTATGTAATAGTATGGAAAAGAATCACAAAAACGCAGACGTACGAGATTTGATACATGAAAAAGGCCGGAATGTTCATTTTCAGATTTCTCTCGGATAAAACATTTTTTTCCCGGGTATCTATCTCTTTCTTTTCTTCTTTTCTTTCGTTTTTCGATAATGTACGAAGCTATCCGAAAAATACTAAGTGGATCAAGGTAGAGAACTAATCAGAAGTTGTACCTACTTTGCCAAACTCTGATTATAGGATCGTTAGTTCTTACGAGAAGCAAGTTCATCTCGAGAGCTTTCCAAAACGCTATAAGAAAATATTTTTTCATTAAGTACTTTTTTAGTTATACGAGGTCTGTTCAAAAAGTATCGCGAATTTTGAATTTCCGCGGGTTACGTATATTCGATTTTCGATTTTTTGTGGCGTTATGTTGGTACTCATGTCTCTCACTTATGCCGACAAGTTCGGCCATTTTGAATGTTCAGTTAATTTTTGACAGCTGCTTTGCTTGCACGTGTTTTGGCTCGTCTTCGATTTTTGCCTATTCCAAAAAATGGATCAAAGAATCTGTATCAAATTTTGTGTGAAAAACAAAATTAAGTGCGCGGACGCATTCCGAATGTTGACTGTGGCATATGGTGAAGCTACCTTGGACCGAAGCAACGTTTATCGGTGGTACAAAATGTTCTCAGAGGGCCGAGAAGATGTGAACGACGAAGAGCGTGCCGGACGCCCGAGCACGTCAACAACAGACGAAAACATTGATGAAGTGAAGAAAATAGTATTG